TAGCAATTTTTCTGTTTTGTACCTAAAAACACAGACTATCATTGCATGATTGATTGTTGGATTTGATTTAAAAACTTAAAGTTTAACCTTTGGATATGATGCTACTGTTTGGGTTGGATATGTCCCTCGCATAGCTCCTTGGAGCTCTTACCCATCGGGCAAGGTTTGCTGCTTGGTGTGCTGCAATATAAACTTGCTGTTAGTTTGAATGGTGTCTTTGTTAGGTCGAGTCATTTGACATGATTAATCAAATTGGTTGAGTTAGGGTTGATAGAATTCGGGATGGACATAAAGTGAGGAATAGAGAGCTGGAAAATTTGAAATTGAAGATCAATTATGTGAAGAATAGTGCTAACTGTGAGAATGTGAGGGCAAAGATAGGTGAGCAACCAAACTATACAAAGGGCTTATAAGAGGTTGAGTTGCTTTTCATATTCTCAATTAGTTTTATGGTAGAACCTTAACTTTCTTTATGGTATCCGAATAGGTTAACCCATGTGTGAAGCCCAATGGTCACACTGTTTGTATTGTCCACATGTTAGGCTTGAAAACTCGTCACATGTGAGGGGGCGTGTAAGAATGTGAAGAAAAAGTCCCACATTGGTGAGGGAACAAAACATACAAGAGCCTATAAGAGGTGGGACTATTCCCTATTGATGCGAGAATTATACGCGCACAAATTAAACCCTCTTTTCGTCAATTGTAGTAAGTATGTAAGTAGGGATCGTTCTGGACCGGGGATTAGGAGGGATTGCTAAAACCTTGGAAACTGACTCAAAAACGTAAAAACAAGATAAAACACTAAACTAGACTCAAAGAATGTGAAACTAAACGTTAAAACACTAAGACAAACCAAAAGACTCAAAATGCTTTAAAAACACAAACTAAATTGATTTCTAACTAAATTGAACAATAAAGTAAAGGGGGATTGGATTTGGACGACTTTAAACTAAAAATGGAAACTTGGAAATAAAACAAATTGTAAATATGGATTTGACGGAAATGAATGGATGGGAAGCTAGCTAAGGGGTTCATCTCCACATATGTTATACTTGCATACAAAACGATGTCTAATTGCTTTTCAATAAACCATGAATTCTCAACGCCCCGGGTTAATTAGGTCCGCTTAAATTAACCGTCAAGTTTTCCTTAAATTAATGAATTGGATGATTGCATACGACAATCCAAAGCATTCCTCACAAGTTCCCTACATGAATTGCATAATAGAGATACAAGCAAGAATCATTAAGCATCATGAAAACTATAAGTGTTGACGAGGCATTCGTTACTATGATTGCATGGAACTTATGCCAAGAATATGTTTAACACGATTGTTTATAAGCAACCTCCACTACTTGTGAATATAAGTTCATAACTATTACGTGAAACTCACTTATATTCTAGCGTCAAATTCATGCATGAAAATTAAGCGTTCATTCTTAATAAACATACATAAATAGGTTATCAATTAAACAGTTAAACAAATTGAATTCACAACTTATGAAACGTAATTAAAAGTAATCAAATCATATTACAAACATAAACATAGTTTCGAATCACCCCCTAGCTAAAGGGGGTTTAGTTCCTCATAACTTTGAAATCAAAGAAACACCTAAACATTCCAACAACTCAAAACTTGAATTGTATGAACGTTTAAGCACTCTTCTCTTCCATTCCTTATACGTACAAAACAAAGAGAATTAAAATGAAACTTTGAAATCAAAGAAACACCTAAACATTCCAACAACTCAAACTTGAATTGTATGAACGTTTAGGCACTCTTCTCTTCCTCGTTGTTGTAGCACAAGGTTTAAGGATAGGTTGGTTGATGGGATGGAAGTGTGGAATGGAGTGGAAATGGAGAAGATGGAGAAGGGGAAGTGTTTGTGTATTACAATGGAAAATGAGATGATTTGGTGAATGGAATGAATGGGTATTTATAGGAAGAGAATGGGTGTTAATGGATGTTTGTTTAAGGTATTTGGTGGATGGGAAAAGGTGTGGATGGTGGGAATTATGGTGGATGGATGGTTTAGTGGATGTAATTTAGGGTTTATTTAGGTGAATGTGGATGCATGGTTTAGTGGATGTAAAGGATAATGGGATGGTGTGGAATTAAAAGCTAAAAAAAATGGGATAATGGGCATTTAAGTGTGAATGGAATGGTGGGATGCACTAATGGAAATTATGGAATGGAATGGTGGGATGCACTAATGGAAATTATGGAATGGAATGGTGGGATGCACTAATTAGGAGGAAGAATTAGGGTGAAGGGCTTAATGCATGGATTTGGGCCAATTAGGGTGAAGGGCTTAATGCATGGATTTGGGCCTAAAATGCCCCCCTTGCATGGCAAGGGAAAGGACTTGGGCTAAAGCCCACGGCAATGGCTCTAAAATGGGCTAAGGTTAGGGTTTAGGTCATCTAAAAGCCCAAAGCCAAGAATAGAAACTCACGACAATGGAAACCTCCAAGAATAGAAACTTCCAACTTTAGAAACTTTGGTTACCAATTCCGACTTCCTTGCTCTTCACTTTCATTTCTTCATTTCTTAAGCTCCTTTGACCTTCAACCTCGTTCATTCCTCGTGCTCCATTTGCATACACCACATTCCAGCTCAGTTTTGCTCCAAAAGCTCCCAATTGCATCATTTCATGTAATATGTCCTTTAAACCTGAAAACACATGAAAGTAGCTTAAAAGACTACTTTAAGGAAGAAAACATAACAAAAATGCATAAGAACTAGCTAACTAAGGCGCATAAATATGCTCCTATCACCTATATAACATATTGCCAATTAATTTTATGGTGAAATCTCAATTTTCTTCAGTAACAATGCATGAAGACGACGATATCATAAAAATTATTAGTGGAGTGAGATGGCTTTCTTAAGTTTAGGAGACAAAACTAATAATGTTTCAATAGAGAAAAATGAGATTTGATAGAAGAATTGTAATAGCTCATGTGGAGCTAGGTGTAACGAAAGGGAATTTATTACACTTTTGGGGGAAAGTGTGGGGGAATTTTGGTTATATGCCCTTCGCTAACAGTTTGGGGCAGGACATTTTTTATGTGGTGATTTACATCTATGGTATTTAAAATCGGTAAAATCCGTCTTTGAGTTTATTCACAATCAATTATTTTGGTCATGTTATAAAAATTATTCGTTAAAAGAATAAAATAACAAAAATACTCTCAATTTTTGTCAAATTATTTTGGCATATTGTTTATTAAATTGAGAGTATTTTTTTTCTCATTTTGATCCTTACTTAACAGAGATTTTTCACGGAATGACCAAAATGATTGAAATTGGACAAACTCAGGAACCACTTCTGTCGCTTTCAAATCTCAAGGATCAAAAGAGGAGTTATGTCAATCTGAATATTCATTTTAGCTAAAAAACCGAAGGTAAAAGCCCAAGATAACATTTACCCTTTACCCTTTAATTTTAAAAAACTTGCAATGAAAGGGGGCTCAAAAAAATAATTTTGAATTGGAAAAAAATAGAAGCAGATTTGAGGTTCAAATAGAACCATCATAAATTCATTTGTTTTCTATTGGAAAAAGGTTAGTTTTTGTTGCCATCTTGGTCTGTGTTTAACTAGTTTTCTTTTAGTTGGAGATGCATACGAGGTTGTGATGGGTTTTGTACTGCTGAGACCTAATTTCTCTAATTCTCTAATGCTTCAGTTTCAAATGTTTTTTTTCCCCTCATTCCTATAATCCCATATTTATTTCAAAGTATTTAGATTTTTGTAGCAAATGTATAGTTATAATAAACTTATTTACAACTTAAAATCCGGGAATCAGAGGCTGTGAATGCCAATTTGCCATCTAAACTTGCAAATTGTTGCTGCCATGAGGCTTCTTATTTATTTCTTAGCATTTTTTTCACTGTTCTCCCATATGATCAAGGACGGTACAATCCATGCATCTAACTTTATCACTCACATACCTCTTGTTAATTAATGTCATTTCTATTTTTCAATTCATTGGATCAGTTTCGACTGTACAATGCACAAAAGCGAATACCCCAGTTCCGGTTGATTTCTTAAGAGAGAGTCATCATCCAAACCAGAGTAGCGCCAAAGAGTGATTCGAAAACTAATCATTGTCCTTACAACCAACAAAATCACACTCCCAAATAGGTTACAAGCATTCATCCAAGTTCCAACTAGTACTAGAGAGCAGCAACAGTCTAGAACTCCCATTTCTTCATCTCCATGTCGACCGGAGCACTTCCCTCAACCTTTTTGTTTCCCACTTCCTTCCAGTTTGTCTAAAGCACTGTCCTGTTTCAGTTCCCTCGGCATGTCTTGTCTCCTTTTTCGTCTGCTCATCGCTTGAACTTGATTGAGTTCTTCCTGCTCCATCGCTCGGCTCCATCGCTCAAACTTTTGTCTCAGGGATGGGTAGTCTGGACTTGACACCCCAGCAACTGGACCACTGACCCTTAGTGGAACAGAGTTGTCCTTGCTGAATTCAAGAGATGTCCAATGTAATGGTTCAGCTTTAGCTAGGCGAATTTCAACTTCGATGGACAGAACGTCAAATCTGCACTTTTCAGGTATTATCTTTCCAAATAAGCGAGGCTGAAAATAATATGTATGTTCACCAGCAACATCAATGCTAACACTTTAGTATTTGTTCACCAAACTCAACATTAAAGCCAGATTAATTTGTAGCAGCAAAAGTCTTAATTATGCATGCGTGTGTCATGTACAGTGCCTCTGTGGGCGTGTGATAGAAAGAGCAAGGGAATACAGCTCTCAGAGAGAGAGATCTGTAGGATATTATATATACTAAAACTCAGTTGATGAACACTGTTTATTAACAGTGAAATGCCAGAAATGCCCTCGGTTTCTTCCTTACTTCTTGTACTGTTTACGTTTTGCTACAGTATAAAGTCTATTTTGCCCTCCTTTGCCACACGTGTACTTTGCGAACCGCAACGTTTGTTCTCTTCTGGATTCTTCTTTCCGTTTCTCTCTCTCTCTCTCTCTCTCTCTCTCTCTCTCTTACACACACACTCCCTTTTGTTTCTCTCAAACCTCTCTTTGCCTCCGATCTCCAGAGAACCTCTGTTTGCCTCGCTCGCTCTCCGATCTCCAGAGAACCTCTCTTTGCCTCGCTCTCCGATCTCCAGTTCTCTCTGTGTCTCCTTTCTTCCAGAAAACACTCAAGTTAGTGAATTTTGTTCGGATCTTTTTGTCGGGGGCTACAGATGGCAACGCTCTCTTGCTGAAAAATAGTGGTCTCGATTTAAAGAAAATTTGAAGCCCATAAAAGATCGTGTTTCCTGCTGCGGATTTGGTGTGGGTAATTCTCTGCTTTGAATGTTATGTGCTTGGGAGTGTAAATTTGGATTTATAAATGGGTTCTTTGTTCAAATTTTTTGGTTGTGATTTTGGGGATTTTGTTTGTAGCTTCGGATTCTGGGTGATGATGGTTAGTTTGGTTTTGCTTTCAGTTTCAGGAGATCGGGTTTTTCGAATTTATGACTTTTCTTTGAAGCCTGCGAAGACCTCTGTGTTTAAGGTGAGTGCTTTTGAAATTCCACGGTTTTGATTCGACTTGCAGGCTAAGGTGTGATTTTAGATATGAAATTTTCAGGCTTCAGATCCCTTGCCACCGTTACTACCACCAATTCACCGATACCTCGGCTTTCTTTCCACGATTCCTCAAAACGTTCATATCGTTACGTACACTCAAGTTCGATTCTATTTGAAAAGATCGATTTTTTTCCTTTTTTTTTTTTCAGCAAAAAGCACCATCTTTGTCTAAATTTTTTGAATTTTTCTCAGGAATTCTCGCCCATCGTTGAGATTTTCTGTATGGGTTTTGGTTCTTTTGGATTTGGAAGGAGATGGAGATCAGAGTTCGTTGCTATCATCTATTCAACTTAAATTTTTGGGGATTTGGTTTGAATTTCTGGGTAAGCAAGTGTCACCTTTGTTCAACTTAAATTTAGTTTTTTTTTTTGTTTTTTTTTCCTCAAATTTATTTGATGGCATGATTTTTTGATCCTTACTAAATAGTTGTTAAGAAATGTTGAAATTTTTAATAGTTCTGAATCTTCTGAATTTGTTTTTGTGTTTTACTATCATGTCTCATGCTTTCGAGTATAATTGGGTAAATTTTCCCAAGAAATGGGTAATAAATGGAAAGCTCATAACATGTAATAGAAGAGAGTTATCAATGATGATAATAATATTTTACTATTAAGTACTTCAGTTGGACATCTCACAAGACATAAAAGCCCTGTAAGTTTTCTTCTTTTTCAAAGTGCATGTCTTTTTGGTGATTCTTTCAATGCTTGGACATCTGTTAATTTTGTGTGATATTGCTTTGGATGGTTGTTGGGTTTGATTGGATTGCACACTTATTTAAAAATGGATAATCATTCTTCGAGTTAATGGCGGAATTGTAGGCTTGGCTTGATTTTGCCTTTTAAGGGCCTCTAAAGTTGTAGGTTATAATTCAAATTATGGCTATCTTGAAGCATGTATAATTTTTGTTCTCTTTTATGAATTCAGAATAGGCGTGTGTGTGCGCGCGCGCGCATGTGTGATTAAAGCAATGATGTTTTTGTTTGAAATTTCGGAAGTGTTTGTTTTCCAGATTTTTAATCACTAATCTGTTAGAAGCCAAATGATTCATATGCAAACAAAATGTTTGGTGTGTAAACTTTAAAAGAATTCATTTTTATGAAAAAGACAAATAGGTAACTATAAGAACCTACTTTGGTTATATTAACGGGGGAATGCAACTATAACAATTCATTAAATGCGATGATATAATCTAATAGTATGGATTCTTTTAAAGATTTTTTGCGATTATTTTACAGTAAGTATGTTGAGTAATTTTCTGGAGAGTAAACCTTTTAGATTTGAATATGCAATAATTAATGCACTAGAATGATTCCTCTTTCAATGGTGATTTGTCTTTTGGACATATTCATTGCAAGGACAAATGAGAAGTAATCGGAGGCTGTTGTACCTTACATTAAGGTTCATTCGTTGTGTTATATTTGGATTTTATTATATAATATTGTCTATGTATGGTTTTTGAAACGGTGCTCAAAATTATCCTGTGTTCTTTTTGTATATACAGAGTGAACAGTTCATTCTTTGCGAAGGACAAAACAGGAGACAAGGTTTTTTACTCCATATGGGACGGAGAGGTTAGTTTGATTGTGGTTACTTTTTTGGTTTAGTTGAATTGAAAATTGGTCATATTGAGTCGAATTTAATCATTTGCTTACATAGATTGAAATTACTGGTTCTATTAATGCTGATGACGAAAATCAACCCGAGTTCAAATTAAAACAATATGATAATTTTGGTTATGGTAAGAACTAAAAACTTAGTACCCTTTTTTTTTTTTTTTATCTTTTCCCTTTTTGGAATTAAGAAATTAGGTTACTTTCTATACCTTTTCTGTGACCGTTCACTGAAAATTTGTTAATTTTTTTAACATAAATAAGGAAATATTTTTACTTTCTAGAATCCATTTCTAATGTTTAGAGTTTGCATGATTTTATATTGTCAAATAGTATATAAGTTTCCATGTTTAAGTGTGTCAGTGTGCTGTTGCACTACTTTAATTGGATGTGATAAAAGCTGACATGTTTTCGTCAAATTGAAGTTTTTAGTAATGAGTTTTTTCAATGTTGTTATTTTTTGAACATATAAAACGATATCGTTATGTTCATTACGGTGAGAATTGGGAACTTAAAACACTATTTTTTTAGCTTTTCCTTTTTTGAAGAAATTGAATTACTTTATATATATATATATATATATATATATATATCTTTTCTTCATTCAATTAAGTATTACACCATTTAGTTTAAATTGCAAAGACAGATGTATGAACCGTATTTGATATAGAACGTTTACATTGCAACTTCAGCTACACAACTTTTGCTACCGCAATTGATCGACAGGTATATAACTTTCTATTTACACCCTACCAAACAATATTTTCTCCTATTTTTCAACCATCTTTTATCTAATATAAATTTGTCTTTTTCAATCTTTGTTATACATCTAAGATAGTGAGCCAAAACAAATCACAAAGGCAAACACACAACAGTTTGATGAGGTGCTGTAAAATTGCTGAAAAAGGTAACAATACAAAATCCTTATTTTCTTCACGGTATAATTCTACTGTCATATAAATTCATTTCATGTGTTTCAATATTTTTCTTTCCTTGCCTAGGCTGCTTTCTCAACAATCAACAGTACTGGAGAAAACCTTTTAGCGTTGCAGTAAACTACTTTTCTCATATTTTGTTATTCTAGATAATACAATACAACTTCTGCAACTTTTGGTGTGTCTGCTGCATATACAAAATCTTTCATATGTAAAAATCATCATTTCCTTTTTAATGTAAATAATATTAATCTTTTATCTCATAGTCTTTACATCTTTCAAACATAATCTTTCTTACAATTTTTAATCCCGCAACAACGCGCGGGCACAACTTTCTAGTTCTTCCTAAAACTCAGCATGTACACGTCATTCTTATGCATAAGTAATGTATTCTAGTACATGCATGTCTTACGCGTGTATGTGTGCATGTTTGTGTGTGCGTGAGAGAGAGAGAGAGACCTGTATGATGTTCTTCCTAAAAGCAGCAGTGAGATTGGTGCAGCCTTCCATATGAATCCAGTGAGATTGGTGCAGCCTTCCATATGAATCCTTCTCATAGTGTTTAACGACTCATGCAAGCCTAGAATCTCAGTGAGTTTGGGGGAGAGATCCAGATGCAGTTCAACCATACTCGACATTTCCGAAAAATTTGGCATTTTTCGAAGTGAAATGCACTGATTCGCTCTCAAGAATTCCAAATTTGTTGGTAAATCTGGGATTTCACGAAGATCCATGCAAGAACTCAAATCTAACATTTTAAGCTTGGAGAGTCCACCGAGGCTCGGTAGGATATAAAACAAATTGGCATCAAGCTCCAATATTTCTAAAGAAAATAGACTCCCAAGATCCTTAGGGATTGCATCATCAGTTAACCCGCAGCTTCTAAGGCCTAAAAATGTCAGGTTCTTCAATCCTACTATTGAAGATGGTACTTGCCTTACCCTTGTATGGCATGCTTGAAGTGTTGTCAATGATACCATCCCCCCTAAGCTGTCATCCAGCATTTTTAAACCTGAACAGCCTTTAAGAATAAGAGTCTCAACTGACCTTGACTTATAGAAATCCCGTGGAAAATACTGAAGCTTTTTGCAGTTTTCAAGATTTACCAACGAAAATCTTTCAAGATGCCCAATGGATGGGTGAATCTGAGACAATTTTCTACAGTTTACCAATATCAGTTTTTCAAGATTTGGGACTTTGGAAAGATCTGGTGATTCTGTTAGGTCATGGGAATGACTGAGATTGATGATTTTCAGATTCTTGAGCAGCTGCTAGGAAAAAACAGATAACAAAATAAAAATTCAAATACAAGAGAGAAAGCAAGATATTGGTATTCACAGAAGCTGAAGAAAATAATTAATAATTTGTTTGAGATCGTATCATACCACGTCAGTATCCTCCCAAACTCGTTTGAGTTTGCTACAGCTCAGGTCAACAGCAACTAGGTTTGGCAGATCGAAATCTAAAGGTATGACCTCCAGAGGAAATCCATGCCAACACAACCATCTTAACTCTTTGAAAAAATTGTTGTCACTTCCAGTGAGCTCTGTGTTACTGACTTTGAGCAATCTTAGACTCCGCATCTTTCTAAATGCTTCTGTATTGAACCATGAATTAAAAGACGTAACTAAAGCAAGTCCTTCAATTGCCACAGTTCCCTATTCAAGGAAAAGAAAAAAGGAACAAAGTAAGACAAAATTTATTTTCACGTGACAAGAGAATTTATACACATGAAGAAAGCAATGAATTAGATGCATGATCAAGAATTCAGTTGTGATTTACATTTTACCAAATTAATTAGGTATCTCAGTCGGCATCGGTTACACGGTGTTACTCTACGTATTACTAAACCCTTGGCACACGCGTGTGCCTTTAATATTGTTTTGGACTTCTATTTCTGAATTTAAAAAAGGAAAAATATGGGTGGAGGGTTGGAGGGGTGAGTGGTAACTGCTTCAGCATCTACTGGTTGGGTTTGGCGTTTTTAATTTTAAAAGTTAATTATTGAAATAATAGGTGGCACATAGTTATCCCTTAATGAAGTTCATGTTTAACATAAGATTTGATTGCCGAAGTACTTACAGATTGTTTCACCAATATGTCTATTACATCCACAGGATTCCACAATCTACTACGTTCTCCAGGATGGTCAGGGCATTGTGCATGTACGATTTCTCTGGCCATGTCTCGAATCAAGTTATGCATCATCAGATTGCCTTGTGTATCAACAGTTACAAGGCATTGATCTTGGAGTTCTCGAATTCCTTTTTGTGGATATAAGTCACAGCCATCCAATATTGTCGTGACATCGTTCTTGTTCATTCCAATAAAGAAACAGCCTATATCCAGGAATACATCCTTCACCAGGTGATCATTTAGCCTATCATAGCTTGTCTTAATATTATCCAGAATTACCCTATAAGGCTGTGAGCTTTTCCATTCATGCAGTATAGTTCCCCATCCCCTTGTGCTTTTTGAACGTAGATAAGAACCTAAGACTTCAAGTGCTAGTGGCAAACCTTCACAGTAGTCAACAGCTTTTCTTGAGAGCTTAATGTACTCTTTATTAGGATAATTCTTTCTAAAGGCATGCCAACTAAATAGCTCAAGAGCTTCTTCTTTATTCATTTCTTGCAAAGGACAAATCGCCTCCACGTTAAGTATCTTTAGCAAATGTTGATCCCTTGTTGTTACAATAATTCTACTTCCTGGGCCAAATGAGTCATGCCTTAGAGCTAATGCATCTAACTGTGCATCGCGGTCTACGTCATCTACTATAACAAGTACTCTTTTGTTGCCAAGTCTTCTTTTAATCTCCTTGGTCCCTTCATAGATCCTACTAACCTTCATGTTTCCCGATCTCAAGATATCAGAAAGAAGTTTGTTTTGTGAATCAACCAGTTCCTCATCTTTTCTCACATTTGGAAGAAAACTTGTACCATCAAACATGTGCTGATATTTGTTGAAAATTACTTTTGCAACCGTTGTTTTACCCAGTCCGCCCATACCCCAGATTCCAATGATACGGACATCATTTGATCCTCCAACATCTAAATAATTACTGATTTCTTGCACACGAGAATCTATTCCAACTGGGTGTATGGCTACGTCCAAGTAATTGTTCTTCAGTTCTCTAGTACTGAATCCTTCACACCTGGTAGGTAAAATTCAATTCAAAATTCATCAAAAGTAAGATCTACTTAAAAAATGGCACAATTAAATTGAACTAATATCTTACTCACTATGACTACAAAGCTTGGGAGTGGAAGATTTGAAAGCCCAAATCAAAATCTTCAAAAACCATTAAAGCATTATGAACTTCAGAACTTATATTTATATATGCATAAATGTGTAAAATCAAATATTTGATTCATGTGGTTAGCTCAATATCTGACCATATATAACACAGATTTCTCATGGAAGAGTCTGGAAGCTCTACATTGCAATGTGTAAAATCAAATACCCTAAGCCGTAGTTATATAAGTTCATTGTTTGTTGACATTTGATAAATATGAGAGTTAAATAGACCAATACATTATGCAGCCAATTAATAACTTCTGTAAGAAGGAACTAAGGTACTGCATACTTGTGTATAAAAAAAATGGACCGGGGAAAAAAAATACAAAATACGGGAAAGGAAAAAAGAGATAAGAAAGTACCCATCAGCTCCCAAGAACCAAACCGGATGTAGGCCAAAATCATAGAGATTAAAGTCTGAATCATGCATATTTTCCTTCATCTCTTTGTCCCATACTAGATTAACCCCTATTTTCTTCACTCTCACAGAAGCATCTTCAGTTTCAACAGGCATTACAACTATATCGACCTTGTCCCCTCCTTGCAAACTTAGCACATAGTTCGATATATACCCCTGCCAAAGATAATGGTCATCAAGTGTACAGGAAGTTGGTACCGAGGCATATGTTATCCGGGCGAGCAAAGCAGTACGCTTGGTTTTATTGCTAACGATAATGCCGAGAGGACCTTCACGTTGTGTCTTTGAAGAGTATATGCAGCACAGAGTCAACCCGCTAAAATTGCGACCAACAATTTGAGGTATGTGAATACTGACCGGATCACCCTTGACAAAATCAAACCAGTCAGGAATATAATTTCCATTGAGAAAAATGCCACCATATCCGCAAGAAGTCCATCCCTGTACCATGTAGAGCCAGATTTCCAACAACAATACATTGTTATGCATGCATGTGTCATATATATGGTGTCATATACAAGTGCTTCGGTGTGTGTCGTAGAACAAGAAAGAGAACAGGCTAGAGAGAGAGAGAGAGAGAGAGAGAGAGAGAGAGAGAGAGAGAGAGAGACCTGAAGGATGTTCTTCCTAAAATCAGCAGTGAGATTGATGCACCCTTCCATATGAATTCTTGTCATCGAGTTTAATGACATCTCTAAGCCCGGAATCTCGGTGAGTTTGCAGGAATGACTTAGATACAACTCTCTCATATTCGACAATTTTGAAAAATCTGGCACTGTTTCTAATGCAGTGCACAAACCCGCTCGCAAGACTTTTAAACTTGTTGGTAAATTTGGGATTGCATGTAGGTTTGTGCAATCATCTAAACACAATGTTTCAAGCGTAGAAAGACCACTTTCGAAGATCTAAATCTTCTAAAGAAATTAGACTCCCAAGATCCTTCGGGATTTCATCATCGGTTAAAGAGCAGCATCCAAGATCTAATTTCCGTAAAGAGTTTAAGCCATGAAAAGAAAGGGGCAAAAGACTAGTGGATGGTGACTCTTTCACTCCATATTGAGATGAAAATCTCAACTTTAGTATTTGTCTTATAGGTGAGCCATCTGCTGTCTTATGGTAACTCTTTCCCAAGCCTTCAGCCAAGTCTTCAAATCTTGAACAGCCGTTAAGAAGAAGAGTTTCAATAGACTTGGAATTAAAGAAATTCAGTGGGAGATCCTTGAGCTTTTTGCGGCCTTCAAGATTTACCAAAGCAAGTCTTTCAAGATTCCCAATGGATGAATGAACCTCGGACAAACTCTCACAATCATTCAAAATCAATTCCTCGAGATTTGGGAGTTTTGAAAAGTCTGGTGTTTGTGCCAGGTTATGAGAATGACTGAGATTAAGAAGCTTCAACTTCTCAAGCAACTGTTAGACAAAAGAAAAAAACCAAAATAAATACAAACGGAAAAGACTTTAGCAACACCTTAATATCCGCTCCCCAGAAAGTTGAGCCTTTAGCAATGACTTGGCCATTTTAAGGACCTTGCTCCCAATTGACTCTTGTGCCAAGCACCGACTTCCAATCTCTTCCAAGTTCTGTGGGGCTAGAACTTCGTCCACCACAGATCTAGCGAGAAACATAGCAAGATCTTCAACAACTATTGGATTATCCAGAGCTGTGTCATCTGCAGATTCTAGCAACATCACAAACCCATTTACAACATCATCAGCTGGAAAACACAGGGATGACAGTAAAATGGATGCCATTTCCTTCTCTTTGTTCTTCCGATCCATTGCTAGAGTTATCAATCTTTTAACAAAGATAACATTCAACTCAGGTGAACAAGTACTATTCTCAGACTCTAGACTACTGTTTACTTCTGAGATATCCCCAGATAAGAAGTACTCTTGAATAATAGATTGGGCCTTCGTCTTGAAAACTTTGGCAACACTATTTTCTAAAGATCGCTTTTCTGGTTGCAGAGAGAGTGATTTCAAAGATGAAGCACACAACCAGCCCTCTGATGCTGCCTTGTAGATCAATGACTGCAAGATACCCCGTGCATTTGGTATGTCGAGTGATAAGTCGTCAACCTAGTCAATCATCCTACTAAAGCCTTTTGATACTTGACTTGAGTTTATTAAACCTTCTTTAGCAGTTTCTTTCAGCAAATCTAGTAGCTGGCCTTCAACTTGACACCTCTCCATTGCCATTACAAGAGCTCGTTTAACTATTTCATGGTGAAAAAAAGGAACTTTCAAATCCTTGATGCATCTGCACGCCTCTTTCTTCTCACCACTCACTACATACTCTATCAACAAATCATTAATCTTAGCTTTGACATCCTCCACAGTCATTTTCTTGCTACCTCCCCATCGCCGCTCAATGATTTCTGCATGGAGTGGGGCTCCTAAGTAGCCCTTTTCAGCTCTTTTCAATACTTCAATCCCTTTCGAATCTTTGGGTAAATAGTTCATTTGTTTTTTCAAGAATGCAGGAGGAAGTATGTCATCAACCACTGCTTGGGCAATGAACAGTGCAAGGACATCAACTGTATCAGGTATATCCACAATGAAGTCATCCGCAGATTCTACCAATTTGCAGAACCCCTTGTAAACTTGTGGGGGGTCAATGTAGTCAGCATATAGTCCAGATAAAAGAACAGCAGCCATTTCTTTTTCTTTATCATGCCTATCCATCGCCTTAGAGACAAGCTTCTTTACGAAATAGTAGCTGTATGTAGGCCTATCAAGCTCTCTAAGTTCATTTGCAGTCGAGGTAATGTCATCAGTAGCAAAGTATTCCTCCACTACTATTGTAGCTTTCTTTTTGTACTCCTCAAAATCGACCCTCTCTTTTCTTGCATCGGAATTTTCACATTCCTGCAACCAATACACGTAATTGGTAAACACAATGAAAATAAGATAATCAATATTGAAGATGGCAAATAAACTGATCATTTTTCGTAACAAGATCCAAAAAGAGTTAAATATGAAGGTGTGAGCTGTTCATTTACTTACCTCAATGCTATTGAAGTTTGGGTCATTCGGGTCAGCAGTGAAACTGTCATCTTTATCAAGTAACCCTCCCCAGGTGCCTTTACCCCCAGAACCACCTGCATTATGATAATCTTCATAAAATTAAGAGTAAAAACCTAATTTTGAATTTTGACATTCGGAACTCTTGTTTATTAACCATCAAATAATGGTAAATGCCTAGAGTTAACTTTCCAAGGCACACATCAGGTAACAATATGTAGCTATACGACATTGTCTAAAACATTGTTCGCTAGTGCCTCTTGCTAGCAATTATATATTGCGAAAGAATGCCTTCAACCCGAATCCATGAGAAAATTTCGGAAGTGTAGTTTACCCTTTTTAGGACGGCCATCAACTGCAGAATGTGAATGTCTATCATGCTTGAGTGGAGTTCCTTTTCCATGTTTCCCCTGAATCTTTGGAGACTTTGGGGACTTTGAAGATTTAGGGAACTTATGGGACCTTGGAGAAACGGGCAATGGAGACGCAGATAATGGATCTGCACTTTCTGAAGCAGATCGGTGCAGCTCCCGATGCTCCTTTGATACAAACCCATCACTGAAGTCCATTTTGCTTATCTTTTGAACTCAAGCCTGCTTACTCAATAGTTTTCAAGAGGCAACATATAATACCTTCAGTTTGTGATGGGTAAAACCGAATAAATCGCAAGCTCTCTGCTGTTATCACCAGCACCAATCTCCAATATGTTTACTACGCTGTTAATCTATTATTTCTACGGAGAATGCCTCAAAATTAAGAATCAATTAGAGCCTGTTTCACAAGAAGAATAAAACAATTCAATGGTCAATAATACTAGGACATCTTCAGCAATTGCTCCATAGCTAACAACAATCGAGTTCATGCGCAGACAACTCAGGTGATTAACGAATATGTGAAAGACTAATGAGCATAAGTTGTAGAATGTGTTGAATCACTTAGCCAACCACTCACCAGCGCAATCACACAAAATATTTATACAGGACGTCCCTTCGATACTTGAGACGCAAGAAACGTACAAGTACAATGAAATCTTTGCATATAATACACAAGATTCACCATTAAATGAATTCTCCTGAGAAAGTTTAAATTCAACGTCACCTCACTTTCTTCCTGCCAATGCCATGTTGGGAAAGAAGAAAATGCAGGTCTGCAACAAATTCAAGAAACACACAATTATATAAATAATCAGAAACTAAAGAGCAATTGGGCAAACACATAAGATATGTAGATGGAAAAATGTGAATAAAAGCAAAAATCAAAGATATATAACCATGATCAGAAATCGAAATCCTACAAGGGCCTATAAGATGTGGGACTATTCCCTATATAACATATTACTAATTAGTTTTATGGTGAAATCTCAACTTTTATCAGTAATAGTGCATGAAAATGATGATATCATAAAAATTATTAGTGGAGCGTGAGAGGGCTTTCTTAAGTTTACAAGAGAAAACTAATAATGTTTCAATAGAGAAAAATGAGATTTGATAGAAGAATTGTAATAGCTCATGTGGAGCTAGGCGTAAGGAAAGGGAATTTATTACCCTTTTGGGGAAAGTACGGGGGAATTTTAGTTATGTAAGGTTTTCTGGTCGAGTGAGTATTGAAGGAATTTTTCAGACTCCATTAAGCTTAAGGTGACTGATTGTTTACTTTAGTGGTAGTCCAGAGTTCATGCCCTTCGCTAACAGTTTGGGGCATGACATTTTTGATGTGGTGATTTACATCTATGATGTTTAAAATCGATAAAATCAGCATCTGAATTTGTTCACAATCAATCATTTTGATCATTGCATACAAATTCTGCATTAAATAAGAATAAAATAACAAAAACGCCCTCAATTTTTGCCAAATTTTTTTTTTCCTTTACGCCTTGGTGCAACAGGGTTGTACTTCCTGAATTCAAGAGATGTCCAGTCCTTCAGTGGAACAGAGTTGTCCTTGCCAGTCCTTTAGTGGAACAGAGTTGTCCTTGCCGAATTCAAGAGATGTCCAGTGTGATGGTTCAGCTTTAGCCAGGCGAATTTCAACTTCGGTGGACAGAACGTCAAATCTGCACTTTTCAGGTATTATCTTTCCAAATAAGCGAGGCTGAAAATAATATGTATCTTCACCAGCAACATCAATGCTAACACTTAGTATTTGTTCACCAAACTCAACATTAACGTCTTTGGCTGGTATGCCCTTGGCGAATATAGTCACAACCACTTCTTCTAGCTTATTCAAGCCAGTACTTCGGTTTGACAGATGCTACGGTCAACTCCAAGGGGTCATAGATGGACGCTTTCTTCCCACGCATTTTGAGATCGGAAGCCATGGGCGGGCAACTGTCCGCGTGGACTGAGGGAGATGGAAGAGTCTAGAAAAAAAAGTATACAACTATGGTTAATTGTTGATTTCTTTACATCTTTGAGATAAGAAACTAAATACAATTTATAGTATTTAATAAAATACAAAATACGTTGACAAATTAATAAATTTTTAATTTATCGTTTATTTAATATTTTGCTAAATAATAGTCTTCCCGGGTCTCGAGGCTATTAATTTAAAGAAGTTTAATTATATAGAAAATCAAAAATAAAAACAGGACAAAAAATAAAAATAACCAAAACAGTTCTTAAGAACTTTTCTTAAAAACAATTTTCTTTAAGAATCAAAAACTTGTTTGGGATGCGAATTAAAAATTTTAAATTTTACAACTCAAACTGAACAAAGAAATCCAAAAAGAAGGGTCGAGGGAGAAAGAGAAGAGAGGAGGAAAGCAAGTAAGATGATTGGATGAAAGAGAAAGAAGAGAGGATCGAAGGAGATAGAGAGGAAAAGGAATGAGAGAAAGAACCGAGAGAATGAAGAAAACGGATTGAAGGAGAGACGAAAATGATCGAAAAAAAAAGAAGGGGGCGAGAGAAGAAAAGAGATAGATTTGGAGTGAGACGGGAGGAGGGAAAGAAAAAAAAAAAAAAAAAAAAGTTTAAGTTTAAAAACTCACTTTTTGTGTTTTTAGAGAATAAACTATATTTTTGAGTTAGTTTTGAAATCAGTTTTTGAAAATAGTTATACCAAACAAGTTTTTAAGACCTAAAACTTGAAAATTGTTTTTGAGTTTAAAAAGTTGGATTCAAGTTAAATACCAAACATGCCTGAACTTAGGTGCTAAAATTTGGCAAATATAAGATATAACTCTAATAATTTCGGAAGTACAAACCTCGTCAGACGTAGTATTGCTTGGTACGGCAACAATCTCGTCCTTGCTAGAGTATGCGTCACCGCCATCACCATCATCCCAGACTAGATTAACTCCTGTTTTCATCAATCCCCCCATCCAACCATAGCCATCCAATGTTGTCGTAACTGCAGAAATCGAGACTTCGTCCCCACTTTGCAAACGGAGTACATCATGTGATAATACACTTTGCAAACGGAGTACACGATCAATCAAAATGGATGTAGATTCTCCCGGGATGTGCAAAGCCTTACCCTTGGTAATATTTGTAACAGTAAATCCAGGACAAATCCACTCGAAAACACAGCACAGAGTCAATCCTCTAAAATTACGACCCAAATATTGGGGCACTTTAAAACGAACATCATTGGACTCATGAATACCAACAACCTGGAACCACTCTTGAATATCATAAACTCCATTGAGAAAAATAATGCCCCCATGTCCGAAAGAAGTCAATCCCTAGAGCATACCATGTAAAGCCAGATTAATTTGTAGAAGCAAAAGTCTTAATTATGCATGCGTGTGTCATGTACAGTGCCTCTGTGGGCGTGTGATAGAAAGAGCAAGGGAATACAGCTCTCAGAGAGAGATCTGTAGGATGTTCTTCCTAAAACTCAACATGTACACGTCATTCTTATGCATAAGTAATATATTCTAGTACATGCATGTCTTACGCGTGTATGTTTGCATGTTTGTGTGTGCGTGAGAGAGAGAGAGAGAGAGAGAGAGAGAGAGAGACCTGTATGATGTTCTTCCTAAAAGCAGCAGTGAGATTGGCGCAGCCTTCCATATGAATCCTTCTCATGGTGTTTAACGACTCATGCAAGCCTAGAATCTGAGTGAGTTGGGGGGAGTGATCCAGATGCAGTTCAACCATACTCGACATTTCCGAAAAATTTGGCATTTTTCTAAGTGAAATGCACTTATTCGCTCTCAAGATTTCCAAATTTGTTGGTAAATCTGGGATTTCACGAAGACGCATGCAAGAACTCAAATCTAACATTTTAAGCTTGGAGAGTCCACCAAGGCTCGGTAGGATATAAAACAAATTGCCATCAAGCTCCAATATTTCTAAAGAAAATAGACTCCCAAGATCCTTAGGGATTGCATCATCAGTTAACCCGCAGTTTCTAAGGCCTAAAAATGTCAGGTTCTTCAATCCTACTATTGAAGATGGTACTTGCCTTACCCTTGTATAGCATGCTTGAAGTGTTGTCAATGATACCATCCCCCCTAAGCTGTCATCCAGCATTTTTAAACCTGAACAGCCGTTAAGAATAAGAGTCTCAACTGACCTTGACTTATAGAAATCCCGTGGAAAATACTGAAGCGTTTCGCAGTCTTCAAGATTTACCAACGAAAGTCTTTCAAGATGCCCAATGGATGGGTGAATCTGAGACAATTTTGTACAGTTTACCAATATCAGTTTTTCAAGATTTGGGACTTTGGAAAGATCTGGTGATTCTGTTAGGTCATGGGAATGACTGAGATTGATGATTTTCAGATTCATGAGCAGCTGCTAAGAAAAAATAGATAACAAAATAAAAATTCAAATACAAGAGAGAAAGCAAGATATTGGTATTCACAGAAGCTGAAGAAAATAATTAATAATTTGTTTGAGATCGTATCATACCACGTCAGTATCCTCCCAAACTCGTTTGAGTTTGCTATAGCTCAGGTCAACAGCAACTAGGTTTGGCTGATCGAAATCTAAAGGTATGACCTCCAGAGGAAATCCATGCCAACACAACCATCTTAACTCTTTGGAAAAATTGTTGTAACTTCCAGTGAGCTCTGTGTTACTGAGTTTGAGCAATCTTAGATTCCGCATCTTTCTAAATGCTTCTGTACAGAACCTTGAATTAAAAGACGTAACTAAAGCAAGTCCTTCAATTGCCACAGTTCCCTATTCAAGGAAAAGAAAAAAGGAACAAAGTAAGACAAAATTTATTTTCACGTGACAAGAGAATTTATTTTCATGAAGAAAGCAATGAATTAGATGCATGATCAAGAATTCAGTTGTGATTTACATTTTACCAAATTAATTAGGTATCTCAGTCGGCATCGGTTACACGGTGTTACTTTACGTATTACTAAACCCTTGGCACACGCGTGTGCCTTTAATATTGTTTTGGACTTCTATTTCTGAAATTAAAAAAGGAAAAATATGGGTGGAGGGTTGGAGGGGTGAGGGGTAACTGCTTCAGCATCTACTGGGTGGGTTTGGCGTTTTTAATTTTAAAAGCTAATTATTGAAATAATAGGTGGCATATAGTTATCCCTTAATGAAGTTCATATTTAACATAAGATTTGATTGCCGAAGTACTTACAGATTGTTTCACCAATATGTCTATGACATCCACATGATACCACAATCTACTACGTTCTCCAGGATGGTCAGGGCGTTGTGCATGTACGATTTCTCTGGCCATGTCTCGAATCAAGTTATGCATCATCAGATTGCCTTGTGTATCAACAGTTACAAGGCATTGATCTTGGAGTTCTCGAATTCCTTTTTCTGGATATAAGTCACAGCCATCCAATATTGTCGTGACATCGTTCTTGTTCATTCCAATAAAGAAACAGCCTATATCCAGGAATACATCCTTCACCAGGTCATCATTTAGCCTATCATAGCTTGTCTTAATATTTTCCAGAATTACCCTATAAGGCTGTGAGCTTTTCCATTCATGCAGTATAGTTCCCCATCCACTTCTGCTTTTTGAATGTAGATAAGAACCTAAGGCTTCAAGTGCTAGTGGCAAACCTCCACAGTAGTCAACAGCTTCTCTTGAGAGCTTAACGTACTCTTTATTAGGATAATTCTTTCTAAAGGCATGCCAACTAAATAGCTCAAGAGCTTCTTCTTTATTCATTTCTTGCAAAGGACATATCGCCTCCACGTTAAGTATCTTTAGCAAATGTTGATCCCTTGTTGTTACAATAATTCTACTTCCTGGGCCAAATGAGTCATGCCTTAGAGCTAATGCATCTAACTGTGCATCGCGGTCTACGTCATCTACTATAACAAGTACTCTTTTGTTGCCAAGTCTTCTTTTAATCTCCTTGGTCCCTTCATAGATCCTACTAACCTTCATGTTTCCCGATCTCAAGATATCAGAAAGAAGTTTGTTTTGTGAATCAACCAGTTCCTCATCTTTTCTCACATTTGGAAGAAAACTTGTACCATCAAACATGTGCTGATATTTGTTGAAAATTGCTTTTGCAACCGTTGTTTTACCCAGTCCGCCCATACCCCAGATTCCAATGATACGGACATCATTTGATCCTCCAACATCTAAATAATTACTGATTTCTTGCACGCGAGAATCTATTCCAACTGGGTGTATGGCTACGTCCAAGTAATTGTTCTTCAGTTCTCTAGTACTGAATCCTTCATACCTGGTAGGTAAAATTCAATTCAAAATTCAGCAAAAGTAAGATCTACTTAAAAAATGGCACAATTAAATTGAACTAATATCTTACTCACTATGACTACAAAGCTTGGGAGTGGAAGATTTGAAAGCCCAAATCAAAATCTTCAAAAACCATTAAAGCATTATGAACTTCAGAACTTATATTTATATATGCATAAATGTGTAAAATCAAATATTTGATTCATGTGGTTAGCTCAATATCTGACCATAAATAACACAGATTTCTCATGGAAGAGTCTGGAAGCTCTACATTGCAATGTGTAAAATCAAATACCCTAAGCCGTAGTTATATAAGTTCATTGTTTGTTGACATTTGATAAATATGAGAGTTAAATAGACCAATACATTATGTAGCCAATTAATAACTTCTGTAAGAAGGAACTAAGGTACTGCATACTTGTGTATAAAAAAAATGGACCGGGGAAAAAAATACAAAATACGGGAAAGGAAAAAAGAGATCAGAAAGTACCCATCAGCTCCCAAGAACCAAACCGGATGTAGGCCAAAATCATAGAGATTAAAGTCTGAATCATGCATATTTTCCTTCATCTCTTTGTCCCATACTAGATTAACCCCTATTTTCTTCACTCTCACAGAAGCATCTGCAGTTTCAACAGGCATTACAACTATATCGACCTTGTCCCCTCCTTGCAAACTTAGCACATAGTTCGATATATGCCCCTGCCAAAGATAATGGTCATCAAGTGTACAGGAAGTTGGTACCGAGGCATATGTTATCTGGGCGAGCAAAGCAGTACGCTTGGTTTTATTGCTAACAATAATGCCGAGAGGACCTTCACGTTGTGTCTTTGAAGAGTATATGCAGCATAGAGTCAACCCGCTAAAATTGCGACCAACAATTTGAGGTATGTGCATACTGACCGGATCACCCTTGACAAAATCAAACCAGTCAGGAATATAATTTCCATTGAGAAAAATGCCACCATATCCGCAAGAAGTCCATCCCTGTACCATGTAGAGCCAGATTTGTAACAACAATACATTGTTATGCATGCATGTCATATATATGGTGTCATATACAAGTGCTTTGGTGTGTGTCGTAGAACGAGAAAGAGAACAGGCTAGAGAGAGAGAGAGAGAGAGAGAGAGAGAGAGAGAGAGAGACCTGAAGGATGTTCTTCCTAAAATCAGCGGTGAGATTGATGCACCCTTCCATATGAATTCTTGTCATCGAGTTTAATGACATCTCCAAGCCCGGAATCTCGGTGAGTTTGCAGGAATGACTTAGATACAACTCTCTCATATTCGACAATTTTGAAAAATCTGGCACTGTTTCTAATGCAGTGCACAAACCCGCTCGCAAGACTTTCAAACTTGTTGGTAAATTTGGGATTGCATGTAGGTTTGTGCAATCATCTAAACACAATGTTTCAAGCGTAGAAAGACCACTGAGGCTTGGTAGGCTACAAAAACTATTTTTTCGAAGATCTAAATCTTCTAAAGAAATTAGACTCCCAAGATCCTTCGGGATTTCATCATCGGTTAAAGAGCAGCATCCAAGATCTAATTTCCGTAAAGAGTTTAAGCCATGAAAAGAAAGGGGCAAAAGCCTAGTGGATGGTGACTCTTTCACTCCATATTGAGATGAAAATCTCAACTTTAGTATTTGTCTTATAGGTGAGCCATCTCCTGTCTTATGGTAACTCTTTCCCAAGCCTTCAGCCAAGTCTTCAAATCTTGAACAGCCGTTAAGAAGAAGAGTTTCAATAGACTTGGAATTAAAGAAATTCAGTGGGAGATCCTTGAGCTTTTTGCAGCCTTCAAGATTTACCAAAGTAAGTCTTTCAAGATTCCCAATGGATGAATGAACCTCGGACAAACTCTCACAATCATTCAAAATCAATTCCTCGAGATTTGGGAGTTTTGAAAAGTCTGGTGTTTGTGCCAGGTTATGGGAATGACTGAGATTAAGAAGCTTCAACTTCTCGAGCAACTGTTAGACAAAAGAAAAAAACCAAAATAAATACAAACAGAAAAGAGGAAGCAAGGAGTTCATGTTTATGAAACTTGGAAGAAAGAATAAATAATTTGGTTGAGGCCATATCATACCAAATCGGAATCCTCCCAAACTCGTATGAGTTTGCTATAGCTCAGGTCAATAGCAACTAGGTTTGGTTGATCAAAATCTTTTGGTATGACCTCCAGAGGAAATCCATGCCAACACAACCATCTTAACTCTTTGGAAAGATTGTGGTAACTTCCAGTGAGCTTTATGTTATTGAGTTTGAGCAATCGCAGACTCTGCATGTTTCTAAATGAGTCTGAACTGAAGCTACGCTCATCAGACTCTTGCACATCTAAAGCGAGTCCTTCAACGTCTTCCGTTCCCTATTACATATAAATAATTAAAAGTTAAAATAATAAAAAAAACCAAGAAAAGGGTTATTGGCACGGGAAAAGACGATTAATTCATATATCAGAACCACAAAGCCCTGAATTGGATGGATGAACCACATGAGAGGTAGACAATTAGACAATATAGAACATGGGACCTCTCATAGGCAATTTTTATTATATATCTACTATGATGTGCTTATATATATATATATATCTACGCTATGTACTTATATATATAGGGGTGTGCTATCCACACACCCCTTGTTAATTTCTGTCCTTTGATCTTCTTCAATTCATCCGATCCGACGGCCGAAAATTAAAAGGGTGTGAGAGAAGTAAAAAGGGATGTGTGGATATCACACCCCTATATATATCTACTATAATGTGACATATGTCTGGATAATAACCATAGAGTTGTCCTTTACAACTATCTACATTAGTTATGTATCTTTAGCAAGCTTCTGTTACAGGTATCATATTTAACAAATTGCACTTAAGAAGAGCAGGACATGTTGATTCTGCTATTTAATTTGAGAAAATTCAATACAATCGGCTCCTTTGTTGTCTCTTACAGGTTCCTTTCTCTGCTACATTAGTATGCGCATTTAACATCAAATTTAATTGCAGAAAGTACTCACAGATTGTTTTGTCAATACGTCTGTTATATCTTCATTATGCCACAATCTACTACGTTTTCCAGGATTGTCAGGGGATTCTGCACACACAATTTCTCTGCCCATGCCTTGAATCAAATCATGCATCATGAGATTGCCTTCTTTATCAACAGTTACAAGGCATTGATCTTGGAGTTCTTGAATTCCTACTTCTGGATAAAACTGACAGCCATCCAGTACTGTCATGACATAGTCCTTGTTCATTCCAGTAAAGAAACAAGAGATATCAAGGAATATAGCCTTCACGTCATCATCAGTTAGCCCTTCATAGCTTATTTCAAGTCTTCTGTGAATTACCCCATAAGGCTGTGATCTTTTCCATTTATCCAGTACAGTTTCCCATTCGCTTGTGCTTTTTGTACGTAGATAAGAACCTAAGGCTTCAAGTGCTAGTGGCAAACCTCCACAGTAGCCAACAGCTTTTCTTGAGAGTTCAACATACTCTTCATTAGGATAATTCTTTCCAAAGGCATGCCAACTAAGTAGCTCAAGAGCTCTTCTTTCATTCATTGCTGGTAGAGTACAAATCTTATCCACATCAAGTATCTTTAGCAAATGTTCATTTCTTGATGTTATAATAATTCTGCTCCCTAGACCAAAGGAGTCAGGTTTTATTGCCAAAGTATCTAATTGTTCTACACTGTCTACACCATCAATTACGACAAGTACACTTCTCTTGCGTAACATTTGTTCTATCTCCTCGGTCCCTTCATCCATAGAACTTATCACTATGTGGGCCGGTTTCAAGATATCAGAAAGAAGTTGTTCTTGCAAATCAACCAGTTTCTTTTCCCTCACATTTTGAAGGAAACTTGCACCATCAAAACTATGATGATGTTTGTCGAAAACAGCTTGTGCAACTGTTGTCTTACCCAGTCCGCACATACCCAAAATTCCAATTATGCGAACATCATTTGATCCTCCAACATCTAAATGCTTACTAATTTCTCGAACACGAGAATCTATTCCCACTAGGCTGGTGGCTACCTCTGAGCATGTGGTGCAGCTCAGTTTTCGAGCGATCTGAGCAATAACGTTCCTGATAAAGCTTCCTTCATGCCTGGTGGTTAAAATTGAACAAAGCAAAAGTAAAACATTTATTATGCAACTTCAAGATTACATTAATCTTTCAAAATTTGATGAGTCAAAATCTCCGGATACCATTACAATTTCTTAAACTCAAATCTTGGTTGTTAAAATTCAGCAAAGCAAAAGTGAAAACTTAAGGGGCAGTTTAATAACCATTTCGTTTTCGGTTTTCAGTTTTTGTTTTCACTTTTTTGAAAACTAAAATCTTATTTCTTAACAACTTTCCACTTTCAGAAAAATGAGAACAGAAAACAAAAAATAAAAACTGAATGCCAAATTGTGAAAACTGAAAAAAAACCATAACAAGAAGCTTCATTTTTTGTTTTACAGTTTTTCTTTAAAACTCAAAACTGAAAGTAAAAATTAAAAATATCAAACTAACTTTAAAACTTATAAGCCTGATTTAATCATTATAAATAAATAAATGAAAAAAAAGGGACCGGAAATTTAAAGCACACAAATAAAGAAAATAAAAAGTTTACCCGTCAGTATTCCTCAAATTTAATTCGGCCAAACTTACAGCTTCATAAAGAGCGCCTATCCAATGACGCATCTTTTCACCCTTAACCTTCTGAAACTTCTGCATTAAACTATCAACGTGCTCCCAGACATCTAAGGGATCAACATCATATAAAATTGGAAAAAACATTTGACCCAGTCTTTTTCCGCACTCCATGATCTTCACCAGCTCCTCGAGACACCACTCGGACATCAGATACCCGCTTGAGATTACGACGACGGCAACCTTAGACCTTTCGATTTCTTGAATCGGATGTTCTGGTATACCTCCGTTACTCTTTTCTAGTTTGTAATCGTACATGAAGACGTTGAATCGGTGATGTTTTAATGAACAGTAAAGGTGGCCCGTGAAGGTCCTGCGTATGTCTTCACCTCCAGAACTCAAGTACACGTCGTACTTGCAATCCTCTTTGGAGGATGAATCCATCAATTCTTACTCCAGGGATTTGTTGGCAGGCAGCACAGAGCAAACTTCAGATCTACAGAACCGTAAAGGAAAAGTAAACTCAAAACTCCGAAAAGAAAAGTCGGAACGGGCAAGTAATGACTCAATTACGATAAGATCCATCCACCCATTTTTGCTTTTGATCCAACGGTACTAAAGTGCTCAGCAAGGAAGAAAATATTATTTATTTTAAAACCAAATGTTTGCTTTTTTAACAAACCAGATATTTGTTTTTTTAACAGGTCTATCACTACCAGAGCGTGGGAGTGGACCAAATTTTACAATAAGCTTCCACAGTATTGTTGCTAAATTGCTTTTGACAAAAATCAAATTTAAAATCTTTCACTTAAAAGTAAAAAAGAATATCACTAAACATAGTACTAAAAGATTAAACCAAATGTTTGTTAAAAACAAAATAACAGACGCATTTCCATAAAAAAAATAACAGTTGTCACCCAAGGGGCTTTTCCCTTTTAATGAATGTTTTTTCTATCCAAAAAAAAAGACAAAAGGTATGTTAATGGTGCTACATCGTCTCAATCGTTATCTAGTTTAGTACAAGCAACACATGCCAGCACGCAATGCCGCTAGTTTTAAAATTGTTTCTGGTTTTAAAATTGTTTTCAACGTGTGAAAGTGTTCAATATGGAACAAAAGATAGGTGCTTGTAGAATATATTACATAGCAAAAGTTTGGAATTAAGATGTTCATATAGATATAATACACAATAAATAGGAAAATATCTTGTTTTTCCATGTCCCAACTTTCATTCGTTCCTCAGTATTTCACTCTTCTCTTTACCAAAAATCTTTTGAGTTTAATAACTACCACTTAAACATGTTAACACATCCATAAGCTGACTAATTCTAATTGGTCTCATCATACACTTGCTAAATATTTATATGAAGAAGAATTAGCCAATTCTAATCAGCAACTGCTAATCAAACTGCAAAAGCAACATATGAGTTTTCCTAACTTCAAACATGGAACCAACAGAGTCAAATGCCTTGACATGAATTATGAGAACAAACCCATTACAATATCATAAATCATTACTCAAAGCTAAATCAAAAAAGTATGACAACACAGTTGATTTTTTTATATGTTGCAGGGAGTATAAATAAATAAATAAATCCATATATAAAACTAATAAAACTAATAGAAAAATGAATAGTAATTTTGATGTCACCAAGCTTCAACAAAAATATTTAGACACAAAAATCCCAAGACAAAAAAATTCAAAAGCATTCCAAAATAATGCATCAAATAAGACAAGGGCATTTTCATCATTTTAACAATGCTTTTTTTTAAATTAATTTTGTTGTGCTTTTCTTTTTTTTTAATTAGTGCCTTACAGCAATTATGTGATTCAATTTTTTTAGAGTAAAGTACAAAAAACTACCTTAACTATTGTTGTCACGACACTTTCATACCTCATCTTTAGAATTTGATCCAATATTATACATTCCGTTACTTTACGTTTACTTTACAATTAAATGCTGACGTGTCTTGATTTGAAGTCCACTTTCTATTAAAAAATTATTAAAATATTATTAAAAACTAAAAAAAAAAAATTAATATTCTTTAAATATTAAAATAATAATAAAAAGTTGAAAAAAAAATGAAAAAAAAAAATCAGTTTGTCCTTCCCCTCCTCCTCTCTCTTCTCCCCATCTTCATTTTCTTCTCCCCACCTGCGGAAGAACAAGAAGGAGGAGGAGGAAAAAAAAAATCCCCCCCTCCGCGCGGAAGAAGAAGAAGAAAAGGAAGGAAAAAGGCAAATAATTTTTGAAAATCCGTCAACGCCCCTGCGGAAGAAGAAGGAGGAGGAAAAATAGAAGGAAAAAAATATTTTTGAAAGCCATCAACTCCCTTGCAAAAGGAAGAAAAAGAGGAAAAAAAGGACAAAAAAAAAAAAATTTTGAAAACCTATCAAACTCCAAATCCACCATTCTCATCCATTCTCCACGTCCTCTTCCGCACCCATCTCCACCTTCTCTGCACATTCATCTTCCCATCAATAGGGTCTAGGTTTTTTTTTTTTTAGGGGTTCCAGGAGGGAGAATAGTGTGGGAGTGGAGGAAGACAAATTGAATTTTTTTTTTTTTTTTTTTTTTTGTTGGGATTTGCAGGTGGGAAAAAAAAGATAGAAGATGAGGAGAAGAGAGGAGGGGGGAGTGGAAGGACGAAATGAGGGTTTTTCTTCTTTTTTTACTTTTTATTATTATTTTAATATTTAAAAAATATTAAACATTTTTTTTTTTAGTTTTTAATAATTTTTTTAATAGAAAATAAGTTCCGAATCAAATCATGTAAGTATTTAACTGAAAAATAAACGATTAAGTAACGGAAGGTATAACATTTGACCAAATTCTAAAGATGAAGTATAACATTATCAATTTTAAAAGATAAGGTATGAAAGTGTTGTGACACCAATAGTTAAGGTATGAAAGTGTCACAAATAATAATGTGATTAAATTAGTTGTCAAATGATTTTTTTTTTTTTTTAACAAACGATATTATCTACATTAAAGGTAAGAGTGCAGGCTTAGCCTCACAATACGATAGCAATAATATGATTCAATTATTTATTTATTAAATATTATTTTTTCTCTTTTTAAACACTTTCAAAAAAATCTTAAGAAACGTTTAATGCCAGTCATAAAAAAAAAATTCTCGGATAATAATGTTATTAAATTAATGTATTTCACCTTTTCCTTATCAACTGATGGATATCTTCTTCTTTGGGTCCAACATCCTCACAAATTTTGAATCTAAGAAATGAAATGATCAGAAATCATACAAAGTTGCAGTGAAAAAATTAACACAATCCTGGGACAATAAAATTATTACAACAGTAGGGAAGAATGAAAACGAAATACTTTGGAAAATTTTGATAAGAAAGCATATATATTCAGTGGTTTCCGTTGGGTTTAGTGTTGAGTTGGATCTAAAATTAAGACGAATTCTCATAAGCTATTCCTTCTTCTAGTTAATCAAAATGTCCCTAATCAACTGCAATTCAGATAGAACATCACTAATCCCCTTTTGGTCTCTTGGGTATTCAACTGAACACTAATACAGTCACACAAAACCCTCAATCATTATAAAAATTTCTTTCAGCCCTTTTTATCATTTTCCCTTCAATATCAAAATCTACACTTACCACTTTTTTGCCAAAACCCAGAAAAACAAACAAAAAAATAGAGCCAGAGAAGTGAGTGTTTACACCGGATAAAACTGAGATAAATGGAAAGCAAACACATTTCAACTATTTCAGCTCTTTCCAATCTTTAACAACAATATAGCTTTTCCCTAACAACAAATATTTTCCCCTTCCACAAATTTTCACTTTCGACAGTATTTGAGTAGAAAGGTTGATGGAAAATGAAGGGAGAGAGAGTTCGGATATAAGCACTCAGAAAATCCAAAATCCAATTACCAGATTCATTCAAATGCACACAAAATAAAACACCACTACCAAACCCAGAAATTTAATCGAAGAATTCTACAAAACTTATAAGAAATTACTGAATATCAGATAAAATTACACCAAAGAACCCATAAATTCAATGAATAATTCTCCAAACCCAGATATTTAAACTAATAATTTACTAATACTTTTTGTTCAAAAAATAATAATAATTTACTAAAACTCAATTATTTTAAATCACAAATTTGTATCTTTACATGCAATAAGTCTATAAGGTACCTGACGCGATGAGGAATAGGTTGAGACAACCTCAACGCCGTCGCCGAAATGTTCGAATACGGGTCGGAAAAATCACAGAAGTTTTAGGGATTAAATCACAATAATCCGTAGGTTATAGAGATAAAATCTCCCAACAGCAATTTAAAAGGCCAGTTGGTGTGCAAATTTTTCCAGGTGAAGTTTTGGGGAGGCTTAGAAATCAAATCAACACAAACTTGGGATGGAAAACATCACAATAGTGGTAGAATAAGGTGTAAGAAATCTCGGCCGCATCCTCATGTTCGTAGCAACAGAAAAGGGTTTTGTGTTTGCCGCTGAATTAAGGAACGATCCGGAGAAAATTGGGTTTAGGGGTTCTAGGGATTTGAGGGAACCGAAATTGATTTGGATGAGAAATTTATGGTTTCGATTCGCAGCGGAGGAGGAAGGAATGAAAGCGTGAGAAAATTTGGATAGGAGCAGTTTTCGGTTTGGATTGGCAGCAGAGCAAGAATTATGCGGTGGAGGAGGAAGCAACGAAATGGTGAGAATAAAATAACAAAGAAGTCTCTGGAACTCCTGCAATTCCAGGCAGAGATGAAATAAACGCCCAAAGAACCCAAAAAAAGGGGTAAAAACGGAATTGCACTGTATAATGAACAGTAACAAAGAAACAAAAAGTTCGTAAAACCGACAACACACTGTAGAAGGAATAGTGTATTTATCTTGATTCTCTTTTTAGTGTGGAAACGATTCTCTACCCTCCTAATCTCTTTACCCTTCCATCTCCTCATATTTGAACGGTCACAGTTAAGCAACGTTAACATTTTATATTGATTTTTTTATAAAGATAATAAGACAAAAAGTAATGTGTGAGAGGAGAGGATGAAAGGAAATGAAAATAGGAGGATAGATAATCATACTCCTTTTAGTATACATATACTAACGAGAGTGCAGTCAAATTAAGATTTGATAAGATTTTAATAAAGTTTAAAATTTAGGGTAGTTAATTAAGATTTTAAATGATTATTTTAAAAGGTTTTGAAATTATAATGTATTCAAATTCAGATTTTAACGGGTTTTATAGAATACATCTAACTTTAGAGGTAGTCGTTTATGATTTTTAAAAAGTCCACACAAGTTTAGATGTAGTGAAAGTTTCAAAGATTTGCAAAGATTTTGATGAAGAAGGATTTTAATAAATTTGAGAGTAGAAATATATATAACCACCACCAATAAAATGTCACCTCAACCCCTAGGATTTCAAATCCAATAATTGCTTTCAGTTTTAAAGCCCTAAGCTACTTCTCCGCATTGCCGCCTTCATCATAGACTTCCTCTTTTTCCTTGTGACAGTTATGTTATCGGCGCCGCATGAGCCCCTGTTTTCACATTTATAGTTGCCCTCAAGGTGCCATAACTATAGCTTGTGCTTCCGTCTACATTTTTGGCACAATGGTTTGGCTCAAATTTAGGGTTTCTCGTAATGAAAACTGATGTCCTATGCCATCTCCAACCAAGGGCTAGCCAGAGGGCTCGCTTTAACCATCTAACCTTCTAAGAAATTAATATTTTAATGAACAATCCATATTTGCGTTCGTCTCCAACCGAAGGCCAAATGACCATAGGGCTTGTTTTAGCTCTGTCACAAAAAACCGTCTCCAACCGAGAGCCAAAGGGCCATAGAGCCAAACATAATTTATTATTTAAAAACTACAACTTAAATTCAAATCTAACGGCTAAGTGACGTCAGCTAGCCGTTGGATTTGAATTTTTCTTTTGCTATAAATAGGGTGGATATTGGGCTATAATTCACACAACTTTGAATTCAATCTATTTCAATTCAATCTCTTTCAATTCAATCTTTTTCAATTCAAGTTTGCAATGAATTCCAACTTTGGATCCTCTTCGAATTCCAACTAGGGGTCCTCATCCAATTCCAAATTGGAAGCAAAATGGGTGCAAATGAGACGTGAAGATGAGGAGTCTAATGAAGAAGTTCAAGTAAGGTGCAACAAACAAAACAGAGCAGCAGCCATGATGTGTCAGCCAACTGAGGAACAACCTCAATGGGGTGGCTTTATTGTTGGTCGTTCGTACAAACCACGAAATAGAGCAATGTCGCATGCCAATTTGATGAACAACTATTTCAACCCCAACTCAGTGTACACAGAAGAGGATTTCAGACATCGTTTCCGGATGAGGCATCGTGTCTTCGAGCGATTACTTTATGATGTCTAGCAGGGCAATCCATACTTTCGACAGAAACAGGACAGAGCAGGCCACCCTGGTTTCTCACCTCATCATAAGGTTACTGTTGCACTCTGAATGATGGTTTATGGCTCCCCAATTGATTCGATGGAAGAAACCCATGGTATGTCTGAGTCTACATGCCTTGATACTCTTGAACAATTTTGTGACACAATTGTTCATGTTTACAAAGACAAGTACCTCAGCAAGCCAAATCAAGAAGATCTGAATTAGCTCCTTCACAAAGCTAAAGACTGTGGGTTTCTGAGCATGATAGGGTCATTAGACTGCATGCATTGAGATTGGAAGAACTGTCCCACCGGATGGCAAAGAAGTTTTAGAAGAAAGTTGAGAAAGCTAACTATTGTGTTAGGTACCGTTTGGTACGTGGGACAGGACGGAACAGAGTGGGACAAAGCGTTCTGTCCCACGTTTGATGCGCCTAAAACGGGTGGAACGAGCCGTTCCACGGGACGAGTTTTGGGTGAATTTTCGTTCCACTTCACCCCTTGGAATGACTCGTTCCACATCCGTGGAACATAAAATTATAACCTCTCCGTCTCCTTCTTCTTCCTCCTTGTTTCCATCTGATGGCATCTTTGCTCCCGCTCCGTTCCGTCCCGTCCTGTCCCATCCCGTTCCATCCCATTCCGTCCCGTCCCCTCCCATCTGCATACCAAACGATACTTAGAGACGGTTGCCTCATATGATACATGGATCTGGCATATTTTCTTTGGAGTCCTTGGATCCCAAAATGACATTACAGTTCTTGGGCGTTCACCCCTCTTCAATAACTTGACGGAAGGTAAAGCACCTCAACTTGACTACTACATCAACAACCGTCAATACAATATGGGGTATTACTTGGCAGATGGCATCTACCTAAAGTGGACAACACTTGTCCAAGCAATTCCAAACCCTAGGAATGACGCATAAAAGTTGTTTACCTTACACCAACAGGCATACCGGAAGGATGTTGAGAAAGTTTTCGGTATTCTACAAGCACGGTGGAAGATCATTAGTGAACCGGCAAGAGGGTGGAGTCGAGAAAATTTGAACTCCATCATGATGTCTTACATCATATTACACAATATGATAGTGGAGGATGAGCGAGATATGTATATTGATGGAAAGTCTGATGACAACCAAAAAGATCCAAATAGGTCAATAAGGGCTCGTGCAAAAATATATAATGGGCCTAATTTGCCTTTCAATCCAAGAACTGGTAGTATCTCTATAAATGAGTACATGAGCCTATAGAATGATACGTTCTCGTGCCACAAACAAGTACCTACAACAGGATCTTATTGCACATCTTTGGGCCAAAAGAAGCATGGAGTATACGTTTAAATTTTATGTTGTTAAATGTTTTTAAAAATGTTGTTTAAGTTTCATGTTGTTAAATGTTTTTTTTATGTTGTATAATTTGTATGTTGGTTAATGTTATTTAATGTTGTATAATGGCTTAGGAAGTTATAGGAAAAAAATATAATTTAAAAAATATATGAAATTTTTTTTGTAAAATAGAAGTTATAGGAAAAAAAATATAATTTAAAAAAAATATGTAATAAATTTTGTGAAATAGAAGTTATAAGATAAAAATAGAATTTAAAATAAAATAAAACAAATTTTGTGAAATAGAATGATACACCCCGACCTAAATCAGGGCGTGCTGGCTATCACATGAGAGTGACGAAACCACGTGCACAGTGCGGAAGCTTAGAATAATAATAAAGTACGAACAAATAAAAACAACTACGCAACAAAGTAGTACAAGTGTAAGTATGAATGACAAATATTTAGAGCACAGGAACCTAAATATCATCCAGAAGAACGAATACAAAAATACACCACGCCAAAAGGTAACCATACTCTTAAGATGTTCTGTCAGAACAATCGATAAATCCTCGTGGACCGTCAAAGCTGCCACTAACTAAAATCTGTAGGGGCGCAAAACAGAAAATGTGATTGGGCAAAAACAAAGCTGCCCATCACCGTAAAACCTATATAGACTCCCAAAAAATAAGATATATATATATATATATATCGAAACATGCTCAGAAATATGCCATAACAAATGCCTCGATATAATAATGCAGGTAATCCAGGTAACGATAAGCAATATAAATAACATGTCAACCGGAGTCACTTAACGTGACCTGTACGGCTGAATCTAGAGCTCATGTCCACAACTCACTAACTAAACATGCAAATAAGTCGGAACCACCTAAAGTGGTCTGTACGACAAGATTGGGTGTAAATCAATACGCTCAAGTGCTACGATCACGTGAAGGCTAGGCGAATAATCGCGTGTCATCTACAAGTCGGAACCACCTATAGTGGTCTGTACGACAGGACCGGGCAACTAACTTGGATCCAAGATGAGTGTGTGGTGCGGGAGGTGAACATCACGTGAAGGACTGTGCCCTACTCTGGGCGGAAGCACTAACACCGGGGTGCAGGTTATGAGCTCTTTATGCATCTAACATCACTACTAACTCACAATCATAACCCATAAACTTACCTGGCACTTACATGTGCATCCACAACACCAATACATACATATATATATATATGCAACAACAAATGCATAAGTAAATATGCAACATTATGCATGGCCTTTAAAACATATAAACACTTATTTGATTTTCTGGGAAAAACACAAGTATATAGGTATATACTGAAAACCAAAAGCCCACTCACTGGTAAGTAGTAGGGTCGTAACCCCCTTGCCTCGAGTGATCGCGCTTGTCCTTGGGATAGGTCTCACCTTTATGCGAAACAATTACAAAAACGTTAATTTAAGGCACATTACCAACATTACGTAATAATTTCTCATACAATGCTCAAATGGAGTGTATGAATACACCAACGTGATCTACACAATCTCATGAACATCCCCAAAATTTTAAAATAATTTTCCTATGTTACACGCGCCGGCCAAGGCACGGCCACACGCTCCGCCCACGCGCAGGCACGTGCCTGGCACACTGACGGCGTCAGTTAACGTCGTCAGGAATATTCCGTTAAAACTAATAGATTCCGTTAAAGTTAACCTAACGCCATTAGGAATATTCCGTCCAAACTGACGGAATATTCCGTCGTCTTCCCCGGCGAACCTCCGGCGCTGTCGCCGTCGCCGGAAAACTGGAAAAACTTCTAACCTTCGTTTCTCACTCGTTTTTCACCCAAATTTCACGAAATTGGTACCAAAATGAAGCTTACAACTAGAGGAACAAATCCTTACCACTTTCAAGTACTAAAACCAACGGAATCTCGCATGAAAAACTTCACCAAAACCGACTTAACCTGCAACTCACGATCCCGACGTCCAAAACCTTTAAACAAACCACCCCGAGCTT